GTGGGGGAGCCTCGCAAGGGTCCTGGAAGGCTCACCCGGACCCTTGCGACGCTCCCCCCCATGGGGCCAGCAGCGACGAAATTGCTGCATTCACACCATTAGACGCACTGACTTCCCCACCCACATTTTGGAGGGGGGAAAGTGCGTCTTATGGTGCAAAAAATACGGTAATCAGTTGACAAAATTACAGTGGGAAAAAATGTTTTTTGTAAAACCTCTCTCCTTTTAAAGTAGATTGAATTGCTTTACTCAGTTCAGTTGCACATGTGATCTTTCTGCCAGCTTTGATAAACATGATTGGTCACAGTGGCTTGATAGCCCATCTTCTGATCCTTAGTTTATTATTACTGTATTACGGACAGTGTTTGAATGCATATACTGTACTTGCCGTCATAGTGGTAGAGAACTAAAGGGTAGTTGCCTAATGGAAAAGACTGGAACTGCAGTCGTCATCTTCATCTTCATCTCGAGGTAATTAAGAGCTTCAGACTTAGGCATTGATTTGTTTTGTGAATTGGCTTGTTTTGGTTTTATTTTATTGGCCTTAGAACAAGTAATTGACAATCTAACACAACAGTATAGAATAGCAAACAGTGCAACCTCATAAATTTCCTTGGACATTGATTTGTAATGGATTATTTTAATCTGAGAACTTCAGCATTAGAGCTGCAGTATTTAGCTGATTTAATTAGTAGTACTATTCATGTAGGGACATCTTGATCAGCTGGAAGGTGGCTGTGATTTAAATGGGCAGATACTTTTAGATACTGTAATGTTTCATATGCCACTTCAGAGGAATTCTTTTCTTTGAGAGAGCAGGGAGAGTGGAACTGATTCTTAAGATGAGGAAATGCATAAACACACATTTCAAAATGGATGTATTAGCATGCAACTTCATTAACCCTTCGTTGTGCGATTTCATCGCATAGCGAAGCGTTCGCTATGCGAGGCACCACTGTATAGGATATAGCTATAGGATATGACTTGGGTGGTGGTGTTTTGTTAATAACCACAAGCAAAAGAAGATAGCTTGCTCAATTTGGTAAAATAGTTTTCCATAGTATAACATTAGCAAATATATAACTGATTTTATTCAATCTTACAGTACAGATTTTTTGGAGAACCTGTGGTAAAGGCTTGTATTGAGAATGGTGCAAGCTTTATCGACATCTCTGGAGAACCCCAGGTATGTGGAACCAAGAAAACAAACAAAATTTAGGTGTAATGTTTATACAAGGTTCTGACAATGGCTGAAGTCACAGATAGAGTAGAATCAGTGGGTATTTGGCAGGTCAGCACTTATATAAATTCAGTTAATGCAGTCAGTGTGCTCTAGTTATGATTTACTACTAGACTTTAGTCAGTATGTTTCTAAATATTTCTATTTCTATATCTGAACATAAATAACAAATAATAGATACATGTTTCAAATATTATAATATATGATATTTTAATAGAATAGTTCCTACACCCATAGTACTCATTCATGGTAGGGACCCCATTCATTGTGAACTACATTTATCTAACTTTATGTATGAATAATCAGCACTTATAAATGAATAGTTGAGTCAGTATAGCCAGTCTTTCTACCAAGGGTGACTTCCCCATTTTAGACATCTTCAGTGCCATCCACCCCATCAGTCCTGGGAATTAATTTACCTCCATGCCATCAAGACAGGATGCCAAAATACATCATGATGAAGATTTTTGTCCCCAAATCCTTCATCCAGTCTCATCTGTCCCTTTTATACACTGTCCATTTCTTTGTGCGGAAAGAGGCACAGAATAATACAACATTTTTCTTCTATGTTATTCTCTGCATTGAGAATGCTGTATTATTTGCAATTTCAAATATCAGATAGTTGACATTTGTCATTGTTTAAGCCACATTGACACTGAAAAGATTTCCAGGGTCCTTTTTTTGTTCTAGATTCAGATGCCAGATAGTCCTCCACTCCTCTTGCATTCTGAATGGGTAACATAGCTGGAGAGGCAGATACCTATTTTTACATCTGTTCTCAAACCAGTGGTAACAGTGGGATCCCCCACATGTGTATGTGTGTTGTTGTTATGTGCTGTAAAGTCACTTACAATTTATGGTGACCTTATGAATGAGTGATCTTCAACATGTCTTGTCCTTAGTAGCTCTAATAAGCTCTTGCATACTCAAGCCTGTGACTAACTTTAGGGAGCCAGTCCATCTTGTATTTGGTTTTCAGCTTTTGCTGCTGGTTTCTACTTTTCTAGTGTTACTGTCTTTTCCAGGTAATCTGACCTTCTCGTAATATGCCCAAAGCAAGACAATCTCAGTTTCAACATTTTTGCCTCCAGAGATGGTTCAGGCTTGATTTGATCTAGGACTCATTTGTCCATCTTTCTGGCAGTCCAGGGTTTTCGCAAAGCTCTCCTCCTGCACCACATTTGAAATGAATCAGTTTTTTCCTGCCAGCTTTCTTAACTGTCCAGCTTTCACACCCATACATGGTGATTGGAAATACAAGAGTATGGATGATCTTGATCTCCAGTGACACATCCTTACACATCTTTACACTTGATGATCTTTTCTAGTTCCTTCATTACTTCCCTTGCAGTCTCCATTCAGAGCGATGATTGAGCCAAGGTATAAAAAATACCTATCTATTTCAATTTCTTCATTGTCAATGTTAAATTTGTGTAGTTCCTCTATAGTCACAGTTTTTGTCTTCTTCATGATCAACTGCAGTCCTGCTTTGGTATTTTCTTCTTTCACTTTCACTATAAGTCGTTTCAAATCATTGCTGTTTTCTGCCAGGAAAATAGTGTTATCATATCATGAATTTTTGATGTTCTCCCTTGCTGTCTCCCCGACAATTTTCACTCCTTTTTCATCTGAATCTAGTCCAACTGCCTGTATATTTTCTGGGTACAGATTAAATAGGTGAGATAAAATACATCCTTGTCTGACACCTTCGCCTATAGGAAACCATTATGTATTTCTATATTCTGTCCTAAAGTAGCTTCTTATCCACAGTACAAGTTATGCATTGGGATAATCAAGTACTGAGCCACACCCATTTCTTTAATGATAACCCATAATTTCTCATAATCTACACAGTCAAGAGCTTTGCTGTGGTCTTGTTCTGAAACTCTTTGATGCTCCCAGTAGTCAGTGGACATTTGCAAAATAATCTCATGTTCTTCTTTCTTTTTGAAATGCAGCGTGAACATCAGGTGTTTCTTATTCCGTATAAGGTAGAAGCTTTTATTGCTGCAGCTTGAGCATCACTTTGCTTGCATAGGAAATTTGAGCTGCCCTGTACTTAATGCATTCCTTTGGAGAGTGTGTGTAAATATTTAAAAATAAATGACTAAACAGACAAATTTAATACTACTTAGTTAATTATTCAAGTTTATTGTTAGTCCTAATAAGAGTAGAACCATTAGATTATTGAGTTTTATCAAGTCAGCTCTTCTGTTGGGTTGATCCTAACTGCAATTAATGGTAGAGTTTAGCCATAAGTGTTCAAATTCCACATTGCTTAAAGGATGGGAGTAGGATGAGAGGAATTGGGGGCATGGGATATTTACTTTTGCTGAGTATCATGAAAGATTTTTTCTTCAGCTGTACGTAATATAAATACGTATGTGTGCATGCTATGTATGAATATAGGAGTTGTGGTGTTGGCCGTTTAATGTAAACTCTACAGCACAGTATCACTGATTTTGTTACACCTATTTAGAGGTAGGTACATAGAGTAAACATCAGTAACACTGCAAAGCGGAGCATCAGCCAATGAATATATTAGCAGCTCAGCTTGAAAGTGTTTTTTGTTTTGTTTTGTTTTTTAATACAGTATAATTGCATTTTACTTGCAGTTTCTAGAAGGAATGTATCTGAATTATAATGACAAAGCTGCAGAAAAAGGAGTTTATATTATTGGAAGCTGTGGTTTTGACTCTATTCCAGCAGATATGGGAGTATTGTACACCAGAGATAATCTGAAGGGTAACTATTCTGCTTGCTTATTATTTTGATAATCAGCATTAAAGTTGATATTTGAGTAGTCAGGAGCAATAATAAATTATACATTTTTTCTTACAGTTTTTAAGAAGGGTCGGTATTGTTGCTAAAATATATCAGCTAGAATACATTGAAAAATTACACAGGGTAAGCCCATTGGCCTAAATTTCAAAAACAAATAGTCAGTGTTTGCATTTTTTGTTGTCACACAGCTGGTGTACAATAGGAAGTTCTAGTAAAACTGCCACCTTCTTTACTATTGGCAATTCACTGTTGTAGTTTATGGCAATGGACTTAAACCAGTAGGCCTAAGTAGTAGGATTCTGAATACTGTGTTTCCCCCTTTATTTAAAGCATTTTAGCTTGCACTTCAGCCAAAAAGGCTCCCAGAGCAGTTTACTTAGAGTCAGTAAAAACAAGTCAGTCTTTGCAGGCTTACTGTCTCAAAGCATAATATGAAAATAAAAATTGATGAGGGTGGAAGAAGAAAAGAGACAAAAACAGGCATTAGTTTTGGAAGTTAATTAATCTAGTGATAATAACTGAAACTGTGTTCAGAGAAAAGGGAAGAGAAGAGAAGATGGATGAAGACGGTGTTTCAGTAGGGCCGAATGAGTGAGTTACCTTGCTCCCCATCACTCTTCCTACTGTAGCCTGATGGAATGGCTTCTACTGGCATATGAGAATGGTGGTTGAGGTAATCAGTTGAACTTTATAGGATTTAGTGTTGAATAGACATGTATAGATAGGACTGCATTGTCAGTATATATTTTATTGTGAAATTATCTAAATATCACTGTAATGTCACTTATCTGACAGAACAACAGTCTAGTATCAATTACTGTTTAATGTTTTATGACCATAAATAACCATACATTGTATTTCTTAAAGGTACCTTAACAGCAGTTGAAAGTTTTCTGACTATAAAATCAGGACCAGAGGTTGGTTGATTTTATTTTTCTGTCTTTTATCTAGACATATTAAATGAAACCATTATGCAGCAGGAGATAATTAAAGTATTTTAAACAAAGAGTGGGCTATTGCATTGGTAGTGGCAGCTTGAAAAACTGTAAGTCACCAGACCATCACTCCTTAACACTTTTTCCTGCATAATGTTACAGTATAATATCAGTTACAAAATCAGTCTGTGACAGCACAAACTGAACATGTGTTTTCTTTTATTATATGGTTGAGTGATGATAAAGATCTAACTTACTCTTGGTGTTGTCGTCGTCATCGTAGAACTGCAGAGCTGGAAGTGACCTATGGATCATTGAGTCCAGCCCTGTCAAGGAGGCAGAATCAAACTCCCAACCTGTGATTCTGCAGACAGAGACCTATACCACTGAGCTATCCAGCATGTAAACAAAGACCTAAAATGTAACACAAACATGCCATACATCAGTAGACAGTGATCAACATTCTCTCTAAAGTGTGTGTGCAGCCAAGCCAGTGTTGCCACCCATTTGCTTCTGCTTGTGGCTGGAAACCCACACGGATGCAGCAGGGCTCCCACCCAGTGCTTCAAATAATTGGGAGGAACGTTGGAAGTGATAATTTTCATTTAAATGGAGTAGCTGGTATTGTGTTACATTGTTGGAGAAGAATAGTGGAGGTCTAGACTAAAATCTCAATATCACTTCCTTTGGTACGTTAAAAAGAATGGCAAGACTTGCCTATACAAAAGGTTGCTATGTGGGCTTTTCTCTCGCTGCCAAATATATGCATGCTGTGTTACCAAGCACCTTGTGAACTCATGTTATTGCTGGTTATGAAAAATAGCACTAGATTAATCTAAGTGTTAATTTGGTGCTCAATTGCTTCTGTTTCCTGAGGCAAATTAACACTGATCCTCTCCCCCCACAAGCCTGGAGAAGTAGTACATAGCTGGCCTAATAGTAATTATTACATTCTAACAAGTGTATTCTGACTTATGGCAACCGTTCCCAGGTTTTCTAGGTGTAGAGTAACTCAGAGATGACCTACCTATCCCTCCTAGGGCACCCTGGGACAGTGGAGCTTACAAGACACAGTGGCAAATCAAGTTCCCAACCTCTGGCTATATGCAGCCATATACCCAGCTCACTGACTTATCCAAGCATCTACCTTTCAAGTATACTCTGATTACATTGATGAGTTGGACTCAATGTGTAATTGCAGGAAGATGTGTTTGCACTATTGTGGCTATGTTGACATGATTAAAAAAATTTAAGAGGCTAGTGCACAACAACCCTTATACAAACAAATCCCACTGTGTTGAATAGGGCAGTCTCCAGCTTGATCTCAACTCTCTGCAGAACAGAGAGTTGAGATGTTCTGGGGCCTGTGTTCCATGTTTACACATATAATTCTGGTCAGAATAATTTATCATATAATAATTTCAGTGTACATGGCATTTTGACAGGGTTCTTCTATTCACGACGGGACCTGGAAATCAGCTATATATGGCCTTGCTGATCAAGATAATCTGAAGAAAATTCGACGGCAAATAGGACATAAACCACTTCCGGTGACTGGAGCAAAACTTAAGAAAAGGTATAAGAAATGCATGTCTCTTTTAGAACTTGGTTAAAGAATGTGTGGGTCTCCAGAGGTTGCTGAACTGCATCTCACATAAGCTCTACTGATAAGATCCATAATGGGAATTACACTTCAACAACATGTGGAATTCCACACATTTCTCACCTTTATTTCAGAGCTTTTTAGTTTCAAACAAGTTAATACTGTATAGCTGAAAGTGAGTGTCATGCCCAAATGGAAAGTTAGGGTGCTTGTAAATGTCTTCAATCAGTAACAAACAGGACTTTTTCTGAAAGGAAGCATGCTGCGAGAATTTGTCTCTGTAAAAATTCCTGAGCCTAAAAAGACAAGTTACTAATAGTAGTGTCTTGGATCAGATATATTTTAGTAGGGCTTCTTTTACACTTGTCTTATCTTTTTGCAGAGGTGCAGTATTTTATAGTGATGAACTCAAACAGTATTCCATTCCATTCATGGGATCAGATGTTTCTGTAGTAAAACGTACTCAGCGCTATTTGCACTCACAACAAGAAATTCCTGTAAGTTTACTTATGCATTCATTAAAACTTGTTTTGTCCTACTGTTACAGAAAAAAATACATTGATACCTTTTGCAAAGTAACATGTGCCTGAAAAATTAATTTCTCTTCAGTAAATGAGAAACCATCACTATGTTAATTCTTTTAAATTATATCCATGTGAAATACTATAATATAGCAGTGCTGTTCTTGATTGAAGAGTAAAAAGACCTTCCACCTTCCTCTTTAGGCATGAGTATCTCTGGGACAAATATTTCAGACTTCCAATCCTGGGTTTTCTGCAAGTGCGCCTTCTCCATTTTTAACCTGTTTGATTTCAGAAGTTTTAAAAAATGGCACTCCTGGTGGTTCTGCATGGGCTTGAGATCAATTTGGAGACTGGGGTAGAGCTTTCAGTGTAACAGTTAGGTCCCATTTTATGGAATTCCCTATCACTTTGCTTTTGGCACCAGAAAGAACTTTCAAATAATTTTTCTCTAACTAAATTGAATAACATGGTTTTACAGATATATTTTAAATATTTTATATATTGTTTATGTTTATATTTTAATTGTTTATACACTACTTGGGATTTTTTTTCCTTAAATAAAAGGTGGCTTATGAATGTAAAAACAAAGAAACACTTAAGTAAATAGGTATAATGACATTCCTTGTTCATTAATATAACATGTCTGTTCTCCTCAGGTGCAGTATGCTGCCTACACCACTGTTGGTGGGATTGGATCTGTTATCAAGTTAATGTTTGCTGGCCTTTTATTTTTAATGCTTGTGAAGTTCAACTTTGGAAGAAAGCTCTTGATAAAAGTAGGTTGGTTTGTTTTTTAAAAAATTCTGAAGTTTATAGTCTTGTTTAGTATTCTGATTTTTACTGTGGATTGTCTTATTTCAGTATCCTGAATTTTTTTCTGGAGGTTATTTTACAAAGAAAGGGCCGACGGAGAAACAGGTAATTAGTACTTTTATTCCTTGTTCATGATAATGCTTTTGACATGGCTGTTTTCAGTTCAGCAGTTAAATGCTTGTTATTGCATTTATTCAGTGGAAGTAGATGTGTGATTTATTTCATCTAGATTTGTTCAAACTAATTATTAAATTTAGTCAGTTTAGTTGTGTATGCTACCAGAAGAATATGAATAATATTGAGCCTAGTGTGCCAGAAAAAAGGAACTGAGTTTGAAAACTGGAGAAAGTGGCTGTACTACATATTTGTCCTTTTTTAGAATGAAGTAGTACTGTAAATGACGTCACAAATTTTATCCCGGTCTCTCTTCCCAGTGCTTATGGATCGAGCTGTGATTCAGCAATATAAGTAGTAGTACTTGATGTAAATTATGCCGTTGTTTAATACTTTTTCCCCCCAATCCTTTTTGAATTATAGATGGAAGAATCATCCTTTGAAATGACATTTTTTGGTGAGGGATACAGCACAGGCCAAGATCCACAGCAAGGGAAACCAAATGTTAAGATATGTACCCAAGTAAAAGGACCAGGTAGGGCAACCAAATTACAATACAGTTAATTATATGTAATAATTATACTGAATGTGTGTACCACAGGACTTGCTTTTGATAGAGCCACATCCCAGAGTGACAGTCTGTTTTTGTAGAGTAAATTTATTTAGCCATCAGATTGTGAGAAGGATTGCCTTACACATAGTCAACACTGTACAGTTTTTACCTCAAAAAAAAAGGTAATTAAAACTATCATTTCCTTCTAAATCATAATTCTAATATAATTTCAGTTTATCCTAAAATATTTATACATTAATGAAGTTATTTTTAATATGTTTGGTTCTGTTTAGACTATCCTTCAAACTGTTGATCCCTCCAAACAAGCTGACCATAATTTACTAATTGATGTGTTGCAGGAAATTAAACAAGAAATTAAAAGCTGAGATGGGAATGTGAAAATCTATGGGTTTTGTTTCCTGTCTTCCAGTCCATAGATTGGGGGGATTGTCTGAACTGAGTCTCTATATTACTACCAACATTTTGCTATAGCTGCAGTATCTACTGTCTCTCATGCAAACTACAGCAAAGTATTATAGAAATATATTCTAAAATTATGAAAGGTAACTTTGGATTTCTACTGAATCACCTTATGTTTATATTCAAGCCACCGAAAGTAGTCCTGCCTGCAACAACTGGGTGTCTGTGAATTTCGTTGTATGTGTATATACTTACAATGACAATAAATTATTATTATTATTATTA